AGTGCTGGTGCTTCTTTCAGACGCTGTAGGTCTGGATCGCGGATAGGCTTCTGCAGCTGGTAATCTCATCCAAACAGGTGAATGAGGAGCTCTTAGATGCAGGTACGCTCTATGGGACATCGTTGACCATGTATAAATTGGCCTCGATAGCTGGTCCAAGTCTGCGGGTCGTTTCCACCATGTCTGTCGGATATGGTGCGGATATTTACCGCGTAACGAATCATATCTAGACCTCAGCAGAACATATCGATGTCCCTTTTCTCGCGAAGCGGAAAATCAGAGTCGGATACACGCCGGACGTGCTCACCGAAGCAGGTATTTTCCGGCCCTCTCCGATAAATATCCAACCAACTCCGTTCAGTTGCAGACATATCTGTAATGCTCGCCCTAATGGCCGGCCGAAACGACGGTGTCGCATACTCCCTCGTCAAGGATGGCGAAGCAAGTGCTTTTTGTCGAGCTACCGAACAGTTACGCTAATTCGCGTCCTCACAGTGGGCCCAGTATCCCTGGTCGCCGTTCTCTTTCTGCGGTCCACAACTGAGCACGACCGCCTCCTCGCCTACCCGCACGGTCGGCTTCCTCGGGTTCGGCCGCATCGCACAGGCCACGCTTGCGCGTCTTATCCCTTTCGGCATCACGCACTGCCTTTACACGGGCAGCCCCTCGTCCCAGCCAGACACGGCGCGCGACGCGGAGCTACAGGCGAAGCACAAGCTGAAAGCGCTCGAGCGCGTGGATATCGACCGCCTCGCGCGGGAAAGTGACGTATTGTTTCTCCTCACGCCCGGCGGGAAGGAGACCTATCATCTTGTGGACGCGGCGTTCCTGCGCAAGATGAAGCCGATGAGCGTGCTTGTGAATACAAGGTGAGAGGTTCGTCTTCAAGCTCAAATGATAAGTAATGACAGCCTTTTCAGCCGCGGCTCGGTGGTCGACTCGGAGGCCCTCGCTACGGCGCTGCGCGAGAAGTGGATCTGGGGGGCAGGGCTCGATGTCGTCGAGGGCGAGCCCGGGATTACCAAGGACAACCCCTTGACGAAGGAGCCTCGGTGCGTTGTCGTCTCATTTCTTGATCACGACTGACGGCCCTCAGATGCGTCATGGTCCCGCACATCGGGAGCGCGACAATCCAGACGCGGCTCGATATGGCTACTCACGCTATCAATAACTTGATTGGAGGCGTTCTTGGAGGAGACATGCCCGCGGAGCTGAGTAACGGGCAGTAGGGTATCAGACTAGGTAAGGGGAAGTGCTGTATGTACACTTTATCTCGTATATATGTTAGCGATGCGCAAGGACTAGAATTTGAAGGGATGGGTACGCGCTGGCTATGAGTGGTCTTGGATATATACAACACGGACATCGCGCTCGTCGTATTCCCTCGTCGGATCGCCTGGCCTCGAAATCTTTCGCGGCGTCCGCCATTTCGACCAGCAGCCCCAGCGGCTCAGCGATCTAGACAAAGAGGAGGATAAATTAAGTACAGTATTGATACATTGGAAGAGTAGCAGTAAAGTGTGTGTATGTATGTACTCGGGCGAAACCACCATAGAACCAAGCCAAAAGGTATTTACTGTAGGTAAATGAGAGGATGAGAAAAGAACAAGCGGGAAGAGGTTTTGGGTGTGGCTTTGGATTTGGATTTGGATTGTCAGTTGGACTAGTAATACTACACGACGACCTGCATACTTTTTGCAGCCGCGCGCGAACAACGAGCGGGAATAGATATCGTATCGTAGAGAGCAGGGGAACGGATATTGTAGACGCACAACAGGTAGGTGAGGATGGATGAGGGTAGCCGAGTGGGATGAGATGAGATGAGAGGGAGGCGTGAGCGGCGTAAGAGACAAAAGAGAATCAAGCAAGCAAGCGGGGATTAATTATATAGATAAGTAGAGAGCGTCCGCAGCACGGGCGCATATGGAAACAAGCGCCCCGCAGGAGCGCCGGCGGTGTCCAACTACTCGTCGAGCGGGAACAGGTCGTCGTCTGCGGTGACGACCGGCCCGCCGAGTGGGCTCATGGGCGCACCGCCCTGCCACTTGGCGCCGCCGCTCGCGTTGCGCTGGACGGGCGCAGCCACTATCGGCGCCCCACCGACACCCGGTGCGCCTGTGCGCGCCGCGGCGGAGTACGACCGCTGCGAGAACATCGTCTCGAGCCCCGAGCCCGCGGCGGGCGGGGACGCCATCACGGCGGCCGGAGACGGCGCGGGCGCGGGCTTAGTGCTGCTCATGAAGCTCAGGAAGCCCGGGCTGCCGCTTATGCTGCCCGTGCTCATCGTCGCCCAGTCGCGCGAGCCGCCGCCGTAGCCCGGGGACGTGCCGAATGCGGCGGGCGAGGGCGAGCCCGCGGCGGGCGGGAGCGGGGGGAGCGCGTGGATGCGCGAGTAGCCCGCGGCGAGGCCCTGCGGGAGGGACTGCCCCGGCGCGTGCGCCTGCAGCGCGCGCGCATTGGGGGAGAGGATGTGCGAGTCGCCCGGGCCGGGGACGTTGGGCGGCGGCGGCGGCGTGTGCGTCTGCTGCGTGAGGTCGAACGGGTTGGGGCGCACGTACGGCGAGCCTGCGTTGTTGTTGTTGTTCATGGCATGCTGCACGCCCGAGGGGCCGCCGGGGCCAGACTGGAGGTAGTGTGCGATTCCCGGCGGGCCCTGGGGGTACGCGGCGTTGGCGGCGAAGAGGTTGTTGGCGGGGTTGCTCGTCGTACGCGCGCCTTGCTGTTTGTTCTGCGCGATGTAGTGGTGGATGCCGGGGAGGAACGCGGCGCTTGCGTTGCTGGGGGACAGCGAAGGCATGGCGCGCTCCGCAAAGGAGGATGGCGCGCCATCGAACTCGCGCCCGCCGAACCCGGACGCAGAGGAGTACGAGCTGGGTTGTAGACCCATCGGGGACGCTGGCAAGCCCGACGCTTGTGGGTGCGCGTGCGGGCTAGCCGGTGGCGCACCGCCCTGGTCGGCCCATATGGACTTGAGATCGCCGCCGAGGAGGGAAGGGGCGGGGACGGAGCGGGAATACCGGTGTCCACCTCCTGGCCCGGCATTGTGCCCGAGGGGAACACCCAAGCCGTGTCGATGCGGCGACGAGCTCTCGAACCCTCCTACACCCGGTGACTGCCCAGAGTTGGACCTCGACATACGCCGGCTCCGCTCCTCGGGTGTTAAAAGATCCGTGAGGGAGCTCGGGAGGAAGTCCTCGAGATCCTCATTGGAATCCTCCAAGGTAGCCTTCCGCCGTCCCTTGACGCCAGATTCCTCATACTCGACCGATATGTCATACTCACCGCCGTTGACACGTCCGTTCATCCTGCCGGCAGAAAGTAGCGACGCGCGCATAGGGGATGACGACGTTCCATTAGCATTCCAGCCGGCCGGGCCGCCCCCCATGGCCATGCCGCTGCCCAGACTCGCAGCCATACCCATGCCTTTGCGGCCACTGTCATTGTACCCGAGGTACATGGATTGGGCTCCGGGCGCAGAGAAGGGTGAGGTGGAGAGGAAGCCGTTAGCTTGCGTCGGAGGCGTGCCAGAGTGCATGCGCGACGCAGGCGACGTAGCAGAGGATGGGGGCGAACCGATAGGGCCAAAGTCCTTGTTGGGGGAGCTGACGCTGGGGCGGCGTGGGGCGGAGACGGGGAGGGTCGGGGATGGCGGCTTTGTGGCGGTCGGGGACGGCGACTTGTTGCGTGCCGGCGCGGTGGGGAGCTGGCTGCTCTCGTCGAGCACCCTGAAAGACGCAAAATCGGTGTCCTTGAGTGGTGGAGCGGGTGCAGAGGGGGAAATTGTGGCCTTGAGGGGCATATTCATGGGCGGCCGTGCGCGTGTGGGCGCGGTGGATCCGCCGGCGAGCAGAGGGTTCCTCGAATTGTTGCCCCCATCGCGCTTGCTGCCGCCACGGCCCTTGCCTTCGTTTTTAGCGCCACCGGCGGCAATCTGGGCAGCTTTTTTGTTCTTGCGGTCCATAGCCATCGTCTGGCCTGGCAAGACATGGGCAAGGGCGCACTTGTGGCCAAACTTGCAATTGCCTTTTACAAACCATGCACAGACGTCCTTTTGTCCGCCAGCCTCGACCAGAGTATGGGAGAAGGGACAGGAGGACCCCGCGGTACAAGACCCGACCTTGTAGAATTTGCACGGCACATGCGACAGATCTTTTGCTGCTGCGGGGCTCAGACAACGAAAAAAAGAGGCGGGAAAGAGGGCGGCGCACCCTTGGACGAGGACGATTTCTTGTTTCCCCCTCTGCTGTCGTCCTTCTCTCGATCATCGAGCGAGTCGCTGTGGTCCGCTGAAGGCATTTAAAAGGGCTGTGGGCGGGCAGAAAAGACCGGCAAAAAGTGGGGGAAGGTGGGGAAATGCGGGGGGCTGGATATCGGAGAACGGCCTTTTGAGAATGAGGACGGCAAAAGGCCCAAGCAAGACTCACAAAAAAGGACGAAAAGCGCTGATGAAACGAGGATAAGCTGACAAAGCACCTGCCGCTTTCGGGTTTTTGCCATCAGGAGCCGCCGCCTTTTCTTTCTGGTGTACGAGGGCTCGAGACGAGACCTGGTGAACCAACCAAATGGACTGGAAGTACTCTATCCATGTGCCCAGCTTCCAAGGTGAATTTTCTGCTTTTTTTCTTCGGGACTTTCCTCTCGTGGCGACAGTGTCTCGCGTTCCATCGCGCTGAAGCCTGAAACGGCTCAACAAAATCGAATTGTACAGCTGGCCAACTGAAACCGCTCAATAAAAGCATGCGGTAGTACCAGCTGTTGGCCAGCTGTACAATTCGATTTTACGGGATTCAAACTGTCAGCATTAACGGAGATGTAGGCTGTAGCTGACTCTTGTTGGCGATACTTGGCGTTTAAGTTCCCAAAAGAAAAGAAAAACAGACAGTGCATACCGCAGAATGCTTGCTCACTGAGTCGAGTGCTCAAGGTCAAGTGAGGTCAAGCGCTCAGCAGAGAAAGCCACGCCCGCGTGCTGTAATCAATAAAATTAGAGCACGAACATGTCTTGACTAGTATATCGGTTAGTACACGCGCTTGTCATGACCCTGCCGGCATACTTTCGCGCGAAAGCTGGGTTCGACTCCCAGGTCGAGAGTTCTTTTGCAAAGTTACCTTTGTTTTCTTGTTTTCCTCCCTTTCATCGCACTCGACAACTGGTTTCTCGACGGTTATGTGATTGGACATTTTTTTTGGATGATGTTTGATTTGGAAGAAGCGTTGTTTAGCCTCCGACAGATGCATTTACAGGAAGCATCATCGAGGTTGGATTCAACACAATATATTAGAGAGAACATTGAGATGAGCCTAACAAGCAACGCGGCGGGCTTGAGAACCTCTTGAATAAGGGGCAATGGTGTAGCTAACAAGTAGATGCCTACGCCTGAAAGAAACTATTGTTGTGGAGAGTAGATAGGCCCGTGGTTCAAATGAGGAAGTGCAGCAAATTGACTGTATCGGCGACCAGCTGATACCCTAGTTCTTGACGTGGAGACGAGCGTGGGTGGGAGAACAAACGATCGAGTTAGCGCACAAACCGAGCGAACCAACTTGCAGTTGACTTTCAGGATCCCAAGCCTTGATTTACTTGACATACATGATGATGGTTGTCGCGAGTTGGAGTTGGGAAGGAATATGAAGTCGAAGGGAAACCTGACAGCGCAAACACTGTAGACAGCCGAGGGTTGAAGGTGGCAGGTCGCTCTACCCTGCCGAAGGCGAGTTGCGTGGTTGTTGATCACGCCCATGAAAACAGAGAGACACATAGGTGTACCGGTCGATACCAGGGATGATAGAGGGTTGGAGTCGGTTTCGCAATTGAGGAAAACAACCGTGCTTCCCGTGGGGTTGGACTCAGGAGGCGGTAAAGTCGCCGGAGTTTGTGGGAGAGCCCTTTCGGTAATCATGTACCTTCGAGTGGAGACACAACAATCAATAGCCGCGGCTTCATAGCAGCGACACCTTTCCCAATTTTTTTCCCCAGAAGCCGTTTCGACTGGGGAGAACGAAGGAGTAAACTTGACGATAGATTGAGGGCCGACAGTGCAGAAGCCACCTATGCAGGCCCGGGCATTGAGCGGATACTTTCTGGCATCCAAGGCAGAATGAACCGTGACGTGATGAACACCGGTGTTGGTCGGTGAGCTGCTGGACCCCCAGCCTGGAGGCCAGAGGGCGTTGAGATTCAAACTGTACTCGGGAAAAGATAAGTGTTGCACTTGAGAATGATCCTCGAAACAAATAAAGCTGCCGATATGACACGAATGTGATGGTGGTTGGTGACGCGACGGGTTTATCCAAAAAAGGTATCGTAGCCAGCGCTTAAGACCAGGCGCTAAAAGAGTAGGCGCTCGTTGAATGATACCAGTATCTTGAAACGCCGGTTTGATGCCAACGAAGACAGTTCTGAGATGGATACATCGATGGCGAAAGTTGCTTTCAACACGGAGATTCAAGGTCCGGTTACACTTCCCTAGAGAGAACATTCGGGGCCTATGACTTAGTATGAGTATGGACGGTGTGCGCGGACAGGAGCAACTTTGTCCGAGCCCGCATCGACGGACGCCGGTGTTTCAAAGCCCCTCGAGTGGTTAACTTTCAACCACTATTTATTTACCTGGTTGTCGGTGGATCTTCGACTCTGAAGATACTCGCGACAATCTGCAGATCCCGTAAATGCGAATACAACAACATATCGGCCGCACTTGGCCGCACTGACCCTACCCAGATCAAGCTGAAGTCACTCGGCGAGTCGGGAAGGCTCGGGGATCATTAGGGATCATTCGTCTTGGAAATGGGTCGCGAATCGGTTCGAGTCGGGGCTGGCAACGTGCACCGTGACTGACGACTCAGCAGCGGCTCACTAATGCCTGTAGCGACAAACAGGAGTTCTCGCGCGCGGAAAATCAAGAGTGTGTTGGCTGAATCGCCGAATGAAGAAAGAGTGAACGACGAAAGCTTTGAAAGACAAGGTTCCAAATCCCGTGACATTTGATCGCCATCAAATAACGATGTCGGACGACTTCGTGCCGATTTTGCCACCCAAGACACCGCAACTTGGCCGTATCACTAACAACCTCCTTCTGTAAATGATTCAACGGCCTCAACACCGAACCCCGCAATTCGACTCCTTATTTCACGTTCACCGATGATAGACGAGCTGAAAGTGGAAACCGAATATCCGTCCTGGGACTTGCAATTCCTCTTTCGATCATGCTTACAAGTTACAATCATTTGTAACAACCGACGCCACAACCTGAAAAGAAAGCTCAAGACGGAAGGCGGGCGCATCCCCTTGCACAGTGTTGTCACGGGAGCGAAGGTATAAAGGTGGGCCCGCCTCTGGCGATTTTCTACATCTTTTTTACCTTCAATGGATCAAGGAAGCTCCTCGCGAAGACCGCAACTGAACAAGGGAAAGGCCTGTTTCAATTGCAGGTGAGTAGTTCAGAAGATTTGAACTGACTTCGGCCTGACATTTTTTTTTCTTTGCAGGCGACGCAAAGTGGTAAGCTGGCTGCACGATTGGACTGCCAAAATTTTGCTGAAGTCAGCCCAGAAATGTGACGCCAAGAAACCTATCTGCACCCAGTGCGTTCGGTTCCTAGGTGGTGGTCTACACGACTGTGAATATACGGATACGGGAATGACGCAATCCCAAGTCCTTGAAGGTTCGATACCCTGCTTTGAATTATACTTAGCACGAACACTAATTGTTTTCTGCAGAACAAATTTCCATCGTCGAGTCCAGGATCCAGGAGCTTGAGCAACCAAAGGATAAAAGGACGTCAGTACCGCTGCACAACCCATATCAGCATGGTCACCATCGAGGCTCTTCGCAATTTGAGGCCCCGCCTCCGAGCACATCGCATCGTAAGTTTCTTCTACGCTCAAACCAGTCATTGATTTATTGATACTTTCTGTGCAGAGGCTCCCAACTTGACTCACCAGGTATTTCTTCTCGACTTATCGGTTGAGCTTATACTCATACTCCCAGCCCCGTTCAATGAATTTCTCTCTGGATTTGTGAGTCCCAGAACAGGATTATGCAAGCCATGCTCACGATGTCATAGAATGAGAATCTTCCTGCGGCACGCTGATCAGATGGGTTTTTTCTTGGGCCCACAACTGTCCGAAGCCCTCTCGAGTGGTGCGGCCCCAGCTCAAATGGTATCGCCCGCACTCCTGGACACCATCTATCTCTGGGGAGCGCATCTATCCCGCTCATCGGCACACGAACGCAGCTTTCTCACAGACGCCTTGCGCAGCACCGCCGCGGGCCTTTCGAATGCGCACTCTACAAATGCAGTCATACACACCATCCAGGCCGAGGTGTTGCTCGCACAATATTTTTTCCGTAACGCGCGCATTCTCGAGGGAAAGTACCACGCCAGTGCTGCAGTATCCATCACGCTTAGCTCGGGGCTTCACAAAATTCGCTCGGCGGACGCAAACTCTTCACGGTCGACCGTAGACTCCCTGTCGCCAGCCGCAACAGCTCTCGAGGAGGGAGAGCGTATCAACGCCTTTTGGGCTGTGGTCACGTTGAACAATTGCTGGTTTACAGCGGACGGCTCACCTCGCGACGTGTCGTACGCCCTTGTCGACACACCCTGGCCGCTAAACATTGAGACATATTCGGAGGTGCGCTACTTTCCATCCGTCAAGTCATGTGTTGAGCGACGCCTATAGGGTTCTTGGTTATTGCCATTCCAGAGTAGCGCAACAATCGTGAATTTTTTGGACAACTTTCCTGACCGCTGGACGTCCCTTCCTGCCCTTCACGCCAAGGCCACCATCGTCTTCGAACAGGCGTCGCGGTTAGCAGCACGTTTCACCGAAAGTAAGTTCACATCCAGGTTGGCTTGGATCTTTGGGACGCTAAACATTTCCAGATGCCGTGGGTCAATGTCCTGATGCAGTCTGTGCCGAGTTCAGCAAACTGGACGGAGTCATCGAGGGTTTCAAACGCACATTACCACCGCTCGAGCCGGATAGTAAAGACTCTCTCCGCCTCCTCATCCACACCCTCGCACACGCTGCAACGATCCAGTTGCACAACCCGTTCTCTCTGAAGCCGGGTGGCTTGCGGATGCGCGCGGCCTCTGCAGCGATGGCTGTTGTCGGCCTGGTGCGTCAGACAAATTTGCGCGCCTTTGATTACATCGATGCGATTGTGGGGGTGAGTGTTTTCGGTCGTATTTCTTTCACAATGCCTCACGAATTAGCCTTGACAGACATTATGGACAGCTGCGTGCCAGGTCCTCGTCACAGAGCTATCACACGCACGGTACAGCCCAGGTGGGGCCAAAAATGCCCAACAGTTTTTTGAGGGAGTTGAGACCCTTCTCGCCGCCATGTCTGTATTTTCTCAGGACTGTCGGCTGATAGGTGAGACATCGAATTCATTCCGCGACGAGATCGTTTTCTCATTTCATGTTCAGAATTGCAGCTAGAAACCGTCCAACAAAACTACGCTGCCATCAGGAGCAGCCGGTAAACGTTTGGGTCTCGAATTTACCTTGCACAACGGACTTGTAAATGCAGAATTTTAGATCAGGCGGCAACGGACATGGAACGCTTCTAGCTCTGCCTGTAATTTAGCCACATCGTTGTAAAAGAAATCTCATCTAGTAGCGCTCGATACAAAACAAGAACTGCACAAACAACCTTCTTCCATTACACTGTTAATAAGGAATAATTGCAACGTCTTTAAATTTCTAGAGCTGTCAAAGGACAACCATGCGCCAGTCAAGTAAGCGCCGTGCTACATGCCGAATGCCTCAACATGCAGGTTTATGTTGGGTCCGCCCTTCAAAGACGACACCGATTCCGCGCGCAGTGCTGAGCGTACGTTCTGGGCTAGACTGGCCGTTCCGCACACTGCCCAAAAAGTAAGTAGGTTGAAATCAATGTTCGATGAACTCACCATTTACGGAAATTGAATCTGATGCTTCCGAGTTGGCGATTTCTGAAGCCACGATCGCCGGAACGTCGGGTCGCCCAGAGAGGACGCTGACTTGTGGGACATCTAAAAGTTTTGTTGCGGCTTCCGATACACTGACGCTGCCCTCGCATTTTTCAACATCATTCTCGGAA